TTGACAGTGACTTGGGCACCGCACGCCTAGTGTTGAATTGGCTTCCAAATTACTTCTCGATCACGCTGTCCGTCGTAAGCCTTTGCAAAGTCAATGAAGTCGAGCTAGGGAGGGTTTTGACTGTCATTCTATGCTTTCTTCTGTGATGGCAATGCGTAGACTTACAATTCGATCAGCACATGATTTACTTTTCTTGTATCCAGCTTGTTCCAGTGGTTGTCGGAGTTATGCATCCAGTGCATCCATTATTCCATCCAGGATGATGTGACTTAGTATTTTACTTAGCGTGGACAAGAGCATTACTCCATGCCAGTCAGTTCTTGCAGAGGTTGGCATAAGTCTCCCTTCTTTGGTAACTTGACGAGGTAGCCAGGCTTTCTTCCAATCGTCATACCTTTCTTCCTTTGCAAACAAGTATCAGCCCACCAGTCTATAATTCCTGATACCACATTCCTCAAACAGACTAAACATTTGAAAGATGGGGTAATGTAAAAAATTGATGTCACGCCTTACAGACACGTGGACAGGGTGGCGATGGGCTCCTTATTGGGTCCCATTTTGGCTGGTTTTTTTAAGTAAGCTAGAAAATAGACCTTTGAACAACCGCATCAGTAAGTTCTCATTTTATTGCCAGTATATGGATGTCATCTCATTCTTTGTGATAGTGATTCGGATAGGAGTACATTCGGCTATGAAATTCAAATGCGAAGAGGGATCCCAAGACAGAATTGCCTTCCTGAATGTCCTCTTTACAAGAAAACCAGATGGTGGCATAAAAAGAAATTTGCATAGAAAAAGTACTTGGGAAGGGCAATATACACATTTTCACATCTTCGTTCCTATTAAGTACAAAAGAAATTTAATGAGACCCTCAGCCACACACTTAGAACTATATGCTCAGAACTAAGCATTGTATATGATACCTTGATTGAAAATAGCTATTCAGAAAAATTTATCAAGAAACACATGACAAAGAAAGCGGAAAAGGACTACTCACTATCCGTAAACAAGAAGTCACTTTATGTACGACTACAACTCAAGGGCGATACACCAAGTGAGATAATTAAGGGAAATTAAGAAAATCAGTTCAAAGAACTTTTAATACTGGCGAACTACACGTCTTATTCTCTACGCGACCAGTGGTGTTACTTCGACTGAAAGATGAAGTACCTAGACTGGCCACTTCAAATTGTATCCACCAACTCAACTGCACTTGTGTGGAGCCAGTTATATTGCCGTTGCTCTAGGAACTTGATTTTTCGTGCTCGCTCGAGAACATCTCCCAGCATGGCTAAGTAAAGGTGTAGTTAAAACCATCAACAGCTCGATATTGGACCATCTTGTGCAAACCGGCCACAAAGCCAGCCAGTGTAGAGGGATCCTTCTCTATAATCTACCGGGTGCCTAATAAATTGCCAAAATCATCGAAGCACTGCATGCTCCAAACAGCGTGAAACAATCAGTGCTTTGTGTTCAAAAGAAGCAAGTCCAGCCCCTACTACTGCCCTGGTCTTCAATGGAGACTAGAAATTCATGAATTTGTAATATTATCTTTCCTAATTTTTTCTGACATTCAGCTTATTTTATGTTGATGCTATTAAGCTGTAATCCATTGATAATACCATTATTGATTGGATGTTATTTAAACAATATTAATGTCGTTCATAACACTAATTCATTCATTCATTCACTATAATGTATGTATAAATGTAGATCCTGGGAATGAAGGGGTTATCGAAAAGAGTACAGTATCCATTCTTTTGAAAATGTAAAACAGTCGAAAATAGGAGATTAAGTAATTTCCTTACTAGATACTTATCGAACTCATTTTTCATTCTTTTCTTCTCTTCTTGAAAGGTATTCATTTAATGCAGAATAGGCCATCATTCTAGACCAACTAGACATTTAATAAATAGGTCAAGGTTGATGAATAGTAGGAGAATATTAATGTTCTCATATTATGAAAAAAAGTTCACTTCAATCAATAAAACTCAACAGTACCAACTTTTTTTTTTTGTAAAACTTTTGATATGACGTTATTGGATGAAAGCAAAAGAGCAACTACAAGAGAAAAAAGTGGGATATAATTGAATAGGTGACCTCCTGTGTATCAATATCATACCATTATGAAAAATAGCCTGTGATGTATGAAGATTTCTGAGAAGAGGAAGTGAGAGACGACAACACTGAGAACTATCATGTTATCATGTGAAATATTCACACCTATAAATCTGATTTCAAATTTATATCTGAAATCAGTGTGGAAATTTCCTGCACGGTGGAAATTTTCAACACCAATGTCAGGTCAGTCAGTGCTTCTACATGTTTTAAGGACATGACACACACACACAAGTTATCAGAAGCACTTCCAAGAGGCCACTTCAGCCATGAGACGTAGGTCTAAGGCTTAATACCGACTGCCTCCAACCATCTAGTATCATCAAATCGATGTGCACCATGATGGAGAGCTACCTAGAATGGTGACCACATTGCAAGCCTGACTGATAGGATTCAGTCTGCACCAAAGATAGGAGGACTAGACACTTCACACTAGTTACTAGTGTCCAATCAAAATACCCACTACAGTCCTACAGGAGGTCAGTCGCGAGCTCAAATAGCTCAGTTGTAACTTCTCTGACCGCAATCCTCACTGGGTAACGTGAGTTCGAATCTCAGATAGATTACATGACTTCCTTCAGGGCTGCAGATGAGCCTTGCTGACTGACTAGTGAGTGCCAACTAGCACAACAGCTAGGTCAGTCACGTTTCATGTCGATTGCCTCCAACCATCAAATATCACTGCATACTTTCATTGACAGATGCTTTCTTTGGCTCCATACTGGAAATCAGGTGGTCAGCCACAAAGGCCAATCAACACTCTGACAGTGTAATGAGTTAGCCAATAGCATATTATCCAACCGAAGGAAATGGAGATTGTGGTGAGAGCTGGCTACTAGCCGAAATTGGTAGACAGTATTTTACGTCAATATTTGCGTCCTCAATATTGGTCGTGAGAAAATATGAACAAAGATTGATTTTGCGTAGGCGGATACAGTTAACGTATAGATGATCTGATATTCAAGAAACAGCCATAAAGAGATGAAAGATTAACTTTCAGTGAGAAACAACCAGTCAACAGACTGTGTTTGTTTGCTTAAACAATTTATAATAATGTACATGAGAATCTATAAATATCTGTTGATTTCCTAGATAAACGATCTGTTGCCTGGCCCTTGTCTTCCATTGTTACAAGGTGAATCAGGCACAGACTGAGAATACCATTCAGCGAAGCCTCACTGCAAAACCTTGAGTAGAATCCGCTTGGTAAGCGACAGTTGGGTGTCCAAATGTGACATGGAAGATATCAAATGAATGTCTTGCTGAAATCCTATTCCTGTAGGAACCGAAGGGAACAGCATAACAATAAGAATAATAATAGTGTTTCTGAAGGACCATAGAAAATACCAATAAAGGTCAAAAGTCAGTGTAAGCTAGTATTATTATCATTATTATTCCATTGAATTTTGAATAGGACATAGGGCTTCAAAAGAATATTCACAATTGTTCGTTAGCTCTCATCTCCTACTCCAACTCATATGACATCCTTCATGTCATCCTCAGAGGACACACAGCCTACTCCATTGTGAGTAAAATTTATTTCGGTAAAGTCTTACAGTGTTGTACAGTAATATTTTCTGATGATCACGTTTCGAGCACAATTTATTACCCATAATCATATCAAGGGACTCACTGACACAGCTTTCTCACTTCGTTTATATAATTCCACTATTTCTCACTTCTTAATTTGACTGGTAATAATACCTTCAGTATCTCTAGTATTTGCGTTAAGTCACTTCTAATGCATGTGTTGGGTGTGTATTCGGTGAACAATCATTCAGTAATCAACCCCTCTCTATCTCCACCTACCTATATTACTTATTGCAATTTTAACCCTCTCCTTCCCACCATGCATACATGCAGTGCAATCACTGAGCCTTTTTCTAAATTACTTATCTTCGAGAGTGGGATCAACCATTTCAACCTTAGCTAAATTCTTATCTTCTGACAGGCAATCTGACTACCCACGACCTACTAGTTTGACCTATGTAGTTGAACTAACTCACAGTTGTTGTAAGGAGATGTGTAAATTATATTATTTGTTTAATTGGGTCAACTGACAGGGTCGTTTGGCCTACAGAGCTTGTCCTACCTGAGGGAGTTTGTAGTAAACCTAGAGTAAATGCCACTCTAATCTCTGTTTAATTAAGAATCCTACGTAGGGAGGGTTTCAGATATCCCCTCCTTATATAGTATAACAGTGGATGCCTTATATTTTCTCTTATTCATGCTATGATTACTGGTTTCCCCAATATTTTTACTTTGTTTTTAACTTTATCTGATCTTCCTAATGAATTTTATAGGGTAGCTAGTAATTTGATACCAACGCTTCCTCTATCTGTTTCACTTCATCATTTAGGTCTTTTCTTGTACTACTTACTGCAACTGCTCGGTTTGTTAGACATTTAACTAAGCCTACCTTTACAGATAACGATGGATAAGATGAATTAAAGTCTAAATATTTATTGGAATGCATAAGTTCTATTCTTATATCAACACACTCAACTCGTTATTTCATATTCATGTTCCACTCGAGGGCTAGTCATTTGCGCGGTGTCACCCAACAGTCTCCTCAGACATTTTCGGGCCCATCTCCATTTATTTTTATAGTATTTCTTGAGCAATAGATTCTTGGTTGGTTCATCCCCACAGTTTTGTGTTTCTAATTCTTTCTCGCTGGCCATCTGGTCTTCCGTAAGTAGTTAGAGAAGGCAGATGGTTGTTTGAAATGTTATTCGCGACGCGTTCATCAAGTATCTGACGCATATAGAATAACTGACTAACTGACTGATTTGGCGTTTGTGTTGAAAATACGAATTTTGTTGTTTACGCTGCCTTGCGTAGTAGACTCGCGAACGGATTTCAGGGTGATGTAGGTCTACCTCACCTTCCCACTTCTGTCTGTTTTTGACATCCTAATCCGTATCGACTGTCTTTGATTGAAAGGATGACACCTTGAAAATTTATTCCACTGATAGTGACTGGTGCTGGTTGTTGGTCGGTCATCTTTATCACCTCCGTCTACTCTTTGTTTCACCTAGAATCCTATAGCAGAGTTTTTTTGGAGTGTATGTCGTAGTAATAATATATGCATTATGCACATTGACGGCCTGCTTAAACCTTGGGCTACCAAAAACTTCCATCTCATTGTACTGCATATATTTTCTCTCGTTCGGCTAGTTTTATTCGATTAAGATATGATCTCTAGTGCTTCTGTTTCACAAGTTCCTACTAAACCCAAGGAAAGGCCTGATTGTAGGTGGCAATGTATTCCAATTTATATGAGATAATTGTTCTTCAGTCATGTCCTTAAGTCTCAAAATGTACTTCTGAACATTTTTCAATTGGCTTTCAACTAAATATCATGGATTTCTTGAAGGTAGAAGACAAAGCAAATAGATATATCATAATGGAATGTGGTTTGTGCTTCAGCTAAGAGAGAGCATTGTGTCAAAGGATATACTGTCTTTTTATAATTCACTTGAAGATATTGTGCGAAGTATGTGTGTATATTTTTCGTCGTTTACAATTCAATACATTTTATTACCGAAACAGATTAACATTTGACCTATGTTAGCATTTTATTGACCTTTCAACAGCACTATTTATCTGTACAACTTAGTTTCTATAATATGCGTTTCTTAATACAGTGCAGACATTAAATTCACAGTTTTGTTGGTGTTCATAAGGCTATTATTAGATGTATCAGCCAATCACGGACAAGTACACACACCTTTTAGTTTTATCATCACATGATTGGCTAATAAGGTAAAATAGTCACTGTCATGACAAATATCTTTAACCTGTTTACTACCTCTGTACTTCATGCAGTCTGAAACAATAGACAGAATGAAATTCTCAGTTAGCAAAATTAATTCGTCATTCTCACACATAACACACACACACACATCGAGGAAATGAAACTTTACCAGAGTTGCCAATGTGAACTGAAATTATTTCAGGTCGCACATGATTCGTGACCTGTTTAACAGCATAAAAGGTGGTGATGAAGAAAGCAAAGGTAATTACTTGATGCTGTATGCTATTGGCTAATGGGTATGAATTCATGAATAATCCTTATCCAGACACTAATGAAAAAACAAGACACATAGTTCAGCGAAGAGATTTTTTCGGCAAATTCATTTTCCCTTACAGTTGTACAGTCGTATTCACATACAATCTATTTTTCATGAAAGAGGGTAGTAACAAAAGTGATGAAGAGTTGTCTCAGACATAATTGATTGGAGGATTTCATCATGAGCTGACATCAGTTAGAGAACTATTGGGAAACCAGACACAGGGAGTACTTCCAGACAGCTGTTTCGGCAGCTTAGTGCTTGGAAGTCTTCAACAGTACGCACCCACCAACAGGGTTCGAACCCAGTACCTTCTGGTTACAAGGCCAGCGAGCTAGCTCGTAGACCACTAAGCAGCCACTAGGATCCGATCCAATGGCCAGCCAGTGCATGAATTCCAACTTCTGCCAATTCACGCATGACATACAGCGACTACTTCAGAATGTCTTCTACGATGGGTTACTGTCTCACCTTCAACCTGCTGTACCCTAATGGTCACTAGAACCCCATTGTTAATATTAGTAGTCAATACATAAGAGGAGTTGAATAAATGTCCTGAAGTTACATAATAAGATGAATAACTTAATGAGCGATTTGTAACCAGGAAAATATAGTATTATGTAAGGGTGAGTTGTAAAGAAATAAAACGGTTCTAAGGATTTAGGGTGACAAACAAACGAAGGTTTTATGTTGCCCAATGAATGAAAAACAAAATGATATTGTTCTTACTAACGTTTTCCTATTTAATGCTACTAATAGCTTTATAAACCAGAATTCACAAAATCTACATGTGGTATTAATATTGATTGTTTCCTTGATCTGAAGCCTGGCCTTTTGTTCATGAGATTTTCCTCTTGTGAACTGGTAAATTTTATATATATGAATGTGTCCACTAATTGCCAATTCATTGGAATACCAGGCTATCAAAAATTCTCTGGCGTTCTTGGTGTTTCTTTTGTCTAATATTTGAACGTCGTTCCAGTTGAACTTATGTCCGTGTTTGTCTGTATACCGCGATATGAGGGAGTGGATGTCATGTCTTTTGACATCTAGTTTAAACTCATGGATAAGAAGACAAAGGGACATCCACTTTGGCCGATGTAATGTTTTCGCAGTTGTTACAATTTATTTTGTAGATGATGTTGGTTTTATCTTCTTTCACTGGTGAGTCTTTTGGTTGACACAAAGTTGAGTGGAGTGATTTTGTTAGTTTATGTTTGACATCAATTCATAAAGGATTGTAATGTCTTGCAATGATTTCTGATATGTCCTTGTAGTAATTTATTGTAATAGGAATATTAGTATTTCGAGATGACCGAATTACCAGAATTCAAACAAAACCCAGAGAGGGCAGAAATCAGGAATTTGTATTTAGCGGAATTCTTATGCAATTCATATAAGAAACATATCAACAGTCAACAGTAAGTATTTTAAACAATACAGAGATAGAAATTGTCAATCACCACATCCGCCACACCTCGAATATCTCCTTGCGTATTTATAACGATGTCTCGGTTTGCTTGCAAGTAGCTTCGACCTAACTGATTCTGTGATATTATTTTCATCAGTATTATCTGGACTTATTTCTGAATTATCTACAAAATCAGGATTATTAGCGGAATCAATAATATTATAGTTGGAACGACCTACTTCATTTATTTTCACTTTGTCCAGGTGTCCATTATGAAGTGAGTGATCTTTGATGTCTAATATCTCCACCACTCGATTTCCCATTTTTTGTAGCATAATTGCAACAGAAGGTCTATGGTCATTCCCTTTGTAATAATGTACATTAGAAGTCGTGGACATCAGATGCTTTTTGAGAATTCGAGATTTGAAAAGTTTTGCAGGACTTTCACGGGTACTTGTAGGCTCTGCATTCGACAGACGCAGTCTAAGCATATGCAGTAATTCCTCAATTTTAATCAGTTGCTCTCTCATCTCATTCAGGTCTTTTCGTGTTTTCGACAGTTCACATTGTAACTCAGCTACCTCATTTTTGAAAACAGTTGACACTTGAGTTGCCGAACTTGTAGTGGAGGTTTTCATCGGATTAGCTTGAGTATTTTGAAAGGTTGAAAGACACATTGACTCCATTTTACTAGACAGCTTGGGAGAATTATAAGAATGTTGAGAGACATAAGTATTCGAACTTCTGCAAACCGTCTTGATGTGTCCAACTTTATCACATTTATAACACTTAGCACCCCGAAAACGGCAAGTGCTTCGTAGATGTAACTTCCCACAAGAAAAACACGGTTTAATGTTTTTGATCTCTCGCTGCATTCTATTACCTGTGGACGGCAGTTTGGATTGCTTTCCATGAACACTTGTATTTTCGACTTTACAAAGCATAACATCAGACACTGACGTAGTGGGAGCAGAGTATTCATTATTGACATCTTCATATGTAATGCATAAATCTTTAGCAGTTTGAAAGGTACAAGAAGGAATCTGAATTAACTCTTTCTCTAACTTAGGAATATTGATTCCAGCAATTAAACGATCACGTAATTGAGTATGCAGCTGATCTCCAAAGTTACACTTTGAAGCTTGTATTTGGAGTTGAAGAATGAATTCTCTAATCTTCTGGTTGGGAGAACGTACCAGTTTGTTGAACTGAGCCCTCTCTCTTGTCTCAAATGTAGTTACATGAAAGTGATTTATAAGAAGTTCACGGAGTTTATAATATGGCAGAGAAATTGGTTTATCTGGAAATGACAGAGTCTTTACAAGGCTATATGCATCTAGCCCAATAGCAGTGATGAAATGTGCTGGTATTTTGTCATCCCGAACATTCTTGGAAATGCACCACGCATCGAAGCATTCCAAATAATCAGCAATCTCCCGCGGAGACCCATTAATGGGGAATTTTCCCAGGTTACTTAGATCCTGCTCGCGACGCCAATTTGTAGTAATTTATTGTAATAGGAATATTAGTATTTCGAGATGACCGAATTACCAGAATTCAAACAAAAAACCCAGAGAGGGCAGAAATCAGGAATTTGTATTTAGCGGAATTCTTATGCAATTCATATAAGAAACATATCAACAGTCAACAGTAAGTATTTTAAACAATACAGAGATAGAAATTGTCAATCACCACAGTCCTTTATATATAGTAGGGCGATTTTCCTTGTGTTTTCCCTGAGGGCCTGTTATCCGGTAAGCTGGCTTGAAGGTATATTTCTTTTGATGAAGTTTCGCGGATATCCATTCTTTTAGAAAACGTCCATGAGATATTTCTCCTCAATCTTCTTTAAGGTAAGAGTGCTTCAATAAGTCCTGGCCCTCTTGAATAATGTTTGTATACCACTCCTTTTGTGTTTGTGTGTGTTTGGATTGTTGCTGTCGCCATTGAGTAAATCATCTGACACGATATCCACTCCCTCTTATCGCCACATCAACGTTCAAATATTAGGCGGGGAAAACACTAAAAACTCCAGAGAATTTTCGATAGCTTAGTATTACGGTGAATCGGCAATCAAGAGGTAGACTGACACGGACAATACTTGCCAATCGATGAGAAGGGAATCTCATACACAAAGGGCCTAAGTTCAGATCAAGTAGACAATCAGTACCAATACAAGTATACTAAGCCAATCAATTTCAAGGTCACCAGGAGAGATGACTAATAAACTCGTGCAGAAATTTAAAAGCTCACTTCAACAAATTGAAGTATGCGCTGAAGATGTTGCCTAGTAAGGCGACCATGTGCAGATTGTTGAATGCGATAAGCGTATAAAAATGAAGCTTAAGAGAGTGAAACTGAGTACAGACATACTCTTTCAAGAACTAAACCCCAAAATCA